TGATTCTTCGAATCTTTCTTCTTGACTCGGTACGAGTCTTGATAAACTATCCACATGAATTATATTTTTGGATAATAGGTGCTTTATGTGAAAATCGTAATTGAGAAGAATGGTTCCCCATCTCAACAGATGATTTGCCGTATAAACGGGTAACCCTTTCTTTGAACCAAAAATAGTGATCAGTGTTTTATGATCCGTTTCAAGCATAAAATGTCTGCCGTGGATGTATCTGTGAAATTTTGTTATGAAAAAAATGATACTCAGCGCCTCTTTTTCTATTTGTGAGTAACTTCTTTCTCCTGGGAGTAAAGTTCTCGAAGCATGGGTAATTGGTTTTCTAGAACCATCTGGCATTATGTGTTGAATACACGCTCCTATCCCGTATGAACTGGCATCACTTGCCTCTACAATATCCAGTTTTGGATTGTAATGGGTTAAAAAGAGGTCGGACGTAAGCATTCTCTTTATTTCATCAAAGGCTTTCTGACATTCTACCGTCCATTCCCATGCCTTGTCTTTTTTTAGCAGTTCATTCAACGGAGCTCTTAGATTGTACATTCCTTTAATGAACGCTTGATAATAATTTGGTTTTCTGTAGCATCGCCACATTAGTGGGCGTCGGCATGTCTCTAATCGCAATGGACCTTTCCGGATCTGGAAATCTGCCCTTTTGTTGATTATGTGACCTAAATACTTAATTTCCTCCAAACCAAATTCGCACTTTGACTCTTTGACTTTAAAACCAAAGTCCTGAATCTTTTTAAATACTTGATTGAGATGCTCTCGATGTTCGTCGACGGTTTCGCTCCTTACTATGATGTCGTCTAAGTAGGCGCACGCAAAGTCTAAATCATTCAACATGACGTCCATAGCTTGTTGAAAAATGGCTGGTGCCACTTTAATACCAAAAGGAAGCCTGTTGTACTTGAATAACCCTCTATGCGTGTTTATCCCTAGTAACTTCGAACATTCCTCTTCGACGGGAATTTGGAGATAGGCATCTGATAAGTCGATTTTTTGAAAATAAACTCCACCATTTAAAAATCTCCTCTGGACTCGGTAACGGGTAATGGTAGTCCTTAATTACCGAGTTCAACCCTGTTGAAAAATCAACGCAGACTCTGACTTGGTTTGATTTCTTTTTTTCACACAATCAGCGCAGCCATGAATTAGATTCTACTTTTGAAATAATTCCCATTTTTTCCATCCCATCAAGTTCTTCGTTAATTTTCTACACTTGCGAAAGGCACGTTACGTTTCTTTTTTAAAATTGTCATAGTATTTTCCTTTAATTCAAATTTAGCTTCAAACTTGTTACATCTTCCAAGACCAGGTGTGAAGGTTTCCGGAAACTTTTTTTTAATTCATCTTTAATGTCCTGTCTTGTTTGCGTATTACTTTCTACTTTTCTGCAGAATGAGTTTAACGGTTTATCCCACAATTCGAATGTTTCAATAAAATCTGTACCCATCAAGTTTTCTCCATTTTCAGAATGAAAACTTTTATTTTTTAACTATCCCGTTCAATTTCATGGGAAGTACAACCTCGCCTTCGAAGTTAATTTCCTTTCCAGTTACCGTTCGAGTGCATTTCGTTGACTTCATTATTGTAGGCCTTTTAAAATTTTCCATGTTTTATAGTTCATTATTGTTAAATCTGAACCCGAATCGAGTTGAAATTTGATATTCTTTTAAATATTTCAGTCGTCACATATTTCCTCAAATCTCTATCTGATTTTATATTTGAATTTGTTTGTCTAATTCGGCTATTGACTTTTTCGTTTTACAACACGATACTTTGTGTCCATTCTTGTGGCACACGAGACATTTCCTATTTCTATATGGGCAATTTACCTCCCAGTGTCTTTCGTTGCAACGTCTACAATTATATGGTGGAACCTTTTTTTTCCTCCTCGTTCTTTTCATTTAATTTTTCTTGTCTATTTTTAAAATACGCCGAATTTTTACTCCAATTTTTTGCTGATGGGTAATTTGACTGTTTTTTTATTTTTTTAATATAAGCAATGCCAGCTTACAGCCCGCTGACACTCCTCTGCTAACTTTTGTAGGGTAAGGTTTTGTTCAGATTCGAGTTTAGCCAAAACTCTACATCTTATTTCGGCACTCTTACTGGATACCAGTCTTTGAGCAAAAATTAAACACTTGAATTCTTCAACCGTAATCTCTGCCAATCTGAAATTGTCACAATGTCTATTCACTATAGATGCATATGTTAAGTAATCCTGATCGTCGGATTTAGCGACATTCATGCATAACCATCGCTTATGCCAAAGCGATATATTTGCTCCAAACAACTCCTTTAGCAATTTCACTTTTTCCGAGAATTCCAATTCATTCGACCTTCTCGGTAAAATAAAATCTACAAACATGTTCTGCTGTACCTAGCTTTCTTAGTAATAGACTGACTTTTCTTGAATTCGACCAGTTTTCATAGTCTGTGTAGAAAATATCTTCATATCGTTTAAAGTACGCTTCAAACGTTTTTTCTTCGTCTGGCCCATAGTTGAAAGTTTCCAGCGAATTAAATATGATGTTATTAGAATATGAAGAATTTCCTTCATTTGCCTGATTGTTGTTTAATTTCTCCAGTATTAACTTTTGAATTTCTAAAACCTTGATCTGCATTTCTTCCTGTTTTCCCAGTCTTTCCTCTTGCTTTTCTTGATATTTTTGCTGTCTTTCCTCTTGCTTTTCTTGATATTTTTGATGTCTTTCCTCTTGCTTTTCTTGATATTTTTGCTGTGCTATCTGTTGTTCCATTATTAATAAGGCAAACTGTTCACTTTGACGTTGCTGACTCAACTGCTGGGATTTGAATAATTCAGATATGACTTTGGATAATTCATCCATCTTTTGCTGATAGTGTTCATGCAACAAAGAATATACTTTTAATTTGTGTATCCACGGATATAATATAATCTGACCAGAAAAATCGAAACAACTTACGACTTTTTATGTCTTGCTTTATAAAATATTGTTGAGCAACCAAAAAAAAATTTTTTTTTTTTTAAAGTTCGTTACCTTTCAAAGTCGACACGATGTATTTGTGCGCCTTTTAATTCCATGCATGTTTTTGTAGTCGGCCCGTTTTTTTTTTAAATCACCGTTATTTGTTTACGACACCTTTCAAATTTTTCTGAGTGAACGTTCCTTTATGCTTAGTCGTCCTTTAACGAGTTCTAAATATCCAGAAATTCAGAATCCTTCGCCGTTCCATTAGATGTTGGACTTTTAATTAATAATTTTTTCCTTCAGCCTGGGTTCTTCAATGACTTGTCCCAATTGTTGAAGGCTATCAATTATCAATTCTTTTTTTCGTATAGTTCTTTCTACCTCGTCGCCATTGTTGAAACTTGACTAATGCATGGAATAATAATGCAACACAAAATGTACTTAGAACAAAATGTATTGAAACAAGAAAGTGTACACAATATTTACATATAGACTTTTGTATATTCCTGGTAAGACCGTTCCTGGAGAATGTGTTGACTGAGTCGCAGTCGGGCAGAGTCTCTGGTTGAATCTCTTGATTCCTCCCTCTCTTCCCGGTACCAACCATATTTATATGGTCGGTACTCCACTATGCAAATTAGGTGGATCCTACCACAACACTTATCATTTATTGCTGAAAGTATTGATGAAAAATTAAACAATTTCGCGACTTTACCGCCAAGTTTGACATTGACGGTATGTTTCTGATTTGGTGAAACTCTCATGTTAAATTAGCCTAGATTGTCGCTGTAATATTTTTAGAATTTCCAAGTTTCCATTCTGTAGTGTATTCGGATTGTTATGTAAAGCGTGACGTTGGAAGACTGGATACTGGAAATTAAATATGTCATTATTGAATATATATAGACATATATATATATATATATATATATATATATATATGTATCCAGAAATAACAGATACTAATGCTATAGTAGAAACAGACTACAGATGTAATCGGGAAAATATGATAGATGCATTTAAAGGTAGGATTGGGTCGTTCACAACCGAGTATAGCAGGGATGGCCAAACTGCTGCTCACGAGCCACATGCGGCTCTTTGACCTCTAGTAAGCGGCTCGTGGAAATATGTTGGTTGAGCTCCTTTTTTCATCACAGTTAATATAAAAGGTAAATTAAAAAATTCAAGCTTTATAATTATTTACTGGGTATGAATTGAGAACCCATTGGGTTAAAACGTAATTTAGATCCTAATTTTCATGCTAGATCTGTGTGAGGCATTTTTCTTTATTGCTGAGAGAAGGAATGGTGAAAGGGAGAGGGATTAAAGAAATTTCCGGTCAACAACGGCTACAGAGGAATGTCAGAAGTCTGAGGTTATGAGTAAAGGGACTTAGGGGACCACACTTACGTCATGTACATTAATGCAGTGTAGCACATGACGATGAACTATGCAGACCTAGTTGGTAAATTTCGGATACAAGTTTTGTTTAAAGTGTCTGTGAAAATCCTGTGAAGGAAGATGGCTTCCTCAAATTATAAGAAATGAAAATATGAAAATGAAATTTTAAGCTAGAGTTGGAGGAAGATTTTTATTCACCATAAAAGAGGTAAACCTTTGTGTCTTATCTGCCATGTGTCACTCAGTCATTACAAAGCCAGTAACTTGAAATGCCACTATGAAATAATTCACAAAAACTTTTCCTATGATTATCCACCTAAATTTTCAGTAAGAAAGCCAGCTTTGTTATGTCATTGAATATTGCTCGTGCTAAACGTCCATATTCTTATAGCGAATTTGTTACGAAGAATATAGCTGTAGTTGTTATAGTGTTAGATCTTATAACACAAAACTTAAGTGACTAATAGTTGAAACACTAGTTTCACGCCGTACTACAGAGAGGTGTACGTCTTAGATCAGTGATGATGTTGCAGACAAAATACAAAATGATTTAAAATTCATTGCATTCAGCTTAGTTTTGACCGAATCAACACACATACAAGACAACCCACAAGTGGCAGTATTTCTTTATGTCTCCTCTGATGTAACTGTGAATGGAGAGATGTTGGACTTAGTGGCATGAAAAGAAACAATTTGCTTAACAAATGCCGATGTTCCACTGAATAAACTCGTCAGTGTTGCAAATGGAGCACCTGCAAGGATGAGAAACAATGTAAGATTAATTGTACTTATAAAAAGTGATCCCAGCTTTCCAGAGTTTCTCCCTGTTCATTGCACACCTGGCAGCCAGATACTTCAAGTATGAAGATGTAATGAAATCTGTCCTTGAAATTGTTAATTTCATACGCTTAAATGAGAAGATTCACTCACAGTTCAGAAATTTATTTGAAGAACAGGAACTTGAATATAAACACACTGATGTCTCTTTCTACTGCATTGGAAGATGGCTGTCAACCAGAAATGTCTTCAGTAGGTTTGTCGACCTTCAACAGATCGACAAACCTACTCAAGACATTACTTTTCTTAAAGAAAAGATCCTGGAAAATGATGAATGGGTGCAAGATCTGATGTTCCTTACTGATATAATGAATCATCTACAAACTCTCAGCTTGGCACTCCAGGCGAAGAATAAGATTGTTTCTGATCTTGCTCAGACAATTTTCAGCTTTCAGAATAAATAAAAGGTTTTCAAGGAGACATAGTCACTTTCCCAATCTTAATAGGAGAGTAAATGCATTCCCTGTTATTGAAATAAAGACCACAAACTGGAAGAATACAAAGATAAATTACAAACACTGCTTGATAATTTCCTAACCACTTTTGATGATTTGCGGAAGCTTAAGCTCTGATTTGCCTTTCTTGTAAACCCATTCATAGTTGATATGGTCATTGATAGATGTTCAATTCTCGAGCCTCTCGTTATGGAATCATCTGCTGTGGAACTGGAACTAATTACAGGAGGACCTGTGTCTAAAGGTGATCTATAAATCCTAGACTACAAATGAGTTCTGGAAACAAGTTCCAGAAACAAATTTTCCTGAACTGAAGAAAACTGGTGTTCGACTCATCTCAATTTTCAGCACAACATACTACTGTGAATCTCTGTACTCTGTAATGAAGTTTGTGAAGTCGAAGCATCGTTTAATCCTCACAAACCAACACCTGATGGGGCTAATTTATGTTAGCAGCTTTCGATGGAATCAATTAACGTTTCCAGGAACCTATCTTGTCAGCGCTCGGTTTCCAGAGGACTTTTCACACCTGAATTCTGCTTCAGTATTTTCCCTAAAATTGAAGTGGAAAAGATCGAAAGCCTTCAAATCAAATCGCCAACATCCTTGCAATGGGACTTTTCCTGTCCAAGATGAATATGTGCTCATTCATATGCGAACTTTCATTGATTGTTATATCCATCTTAGTCAAACCAATGGATGATATCCTTCTGATTGAAACTAGTAATCTCAAAATCCAGAAGATTGGCAACTCAGATTTTAATGGAGACAATAACAGAGGCTACGATTAACACTGAGCAATTTGTCTACGTTTGAGCAAGTAGAAGAGTTGCCCTGTATGACTGAACTAACAATCTGTGCAAAAGACTCGGCAGCTGGTTCAGTTCCAACCAAAAAGTGGAGGCGGTTGAGAATACAATAATGTTCTTAGAGGAATATTTCCTTGAATGATAGAAGGGTGTGGCTTACAAATCTAATCGCTGACCCTTTATCGATTGCCGGTACCTCCACTGCGTATTATAATTTCTTATTTTAATCCATGTAAAGGAACATATTTCCAACCGTGTGTCACGAAAGTTTTTACTTCCATATTTTTGAAGAGAATTCTGGAATACCGAAATTAGATATATGCAAACGATTGTATATCCTAAACTGGATGTGTGCACAATAAGACAATAATCGCAAATTCCAGAAATAAGACGCCAAAATGGCATTTGAAAATTTCTTTTAATAGTAAAGGTTAATCTCTTTGATTTTATTATCGATAAAAGAATTTTATCAAATGCCAAGTTTTCAAGACAATTTGATCGGGAGCCTGGTTTGAAGAAGAGGGGCTTATCCTTCTTGTGTATTTGGAATGGAACGTTTCAATAATGGCGAGGCATCTCTCACTTGGTTGATGATTCAGAACGCTCTCTGAATCGGCGAAATTCTTTCGCAATAGTGCTGGGTGATTTACTAGAGTACATTCGCTGCAGTGCTATTCAAGAAGCCATAGTACTCATCTTTCACTGAATCATTGTACAAAGTGCAGTGTGTATCTGCCATTTGATAGAAGGAGACACTACATGTCTCTGTGCAATAAACTTGTAATGAAGGTTTTGATTTAGAGGACACTGAAAGCATTATACAAAGTGGTCTTTTTATTTCAATTATCCGTTTGATTATATTAAGTATCAGTTTAAAGTTATGATAAGGATTGAGCGAACAGATTGTCTGCGTTACAAATCGACGAAACGAAAACGAAAGTCTCATGACTTTGAAATGTGAGAGGAGCCATTTTTGGGTTGTACTTGGAATTGTTTATTCAAATTAAAATTTCACCTGAGTCCAAGACTATAATGACATTATCCTTTGAAATTATTATACACTTAAGAAAAGAATGTGCTCTCGTTTCGCAATTTCCATATGTATTTAATTCATTTTGAATAACAGGAGATAAATGTAGAATTGTTTTCAAATCACGGAACTATTTTCCAAATCATGAAATCCCATTCTCGTCCGGGTGGGCATTCCCTTCTCTGTGATTTTTAGCTGGTGAGCATAATATATGTATTCCCTAGCTACCCTTATTTTAACACTATGGATTAGCGGAGACGAGAATAAAAGGTCAGATTACTGAACGTCCAATGCCGACCACCTGAAGAATGCATGCTTACCGCGTAGGAAATTGACAGTCGTAATCTGACAGATCTATACCAGAAGGTTATGTTTAATATATATATATATATATATATATATATGTGTGTGTGTGTGTGTTTGCTTTTCAACAGAGCAAGCCTAGTTTGGAATATGCATATGCATAGTAATAATATTTTAAAAAATACTAGAAAGAAACTTTTAAAATATTATTACTATTCTAAATATCAGGTCTCATTTCATACAAGTTTATTTGTCTCACCATTTCTATCTAGCGGAATTTGCTCCAACGAAACAATTCTTGACATCCAATGACGCATGTCTTTGAAAGTCTTGTACATTTGAATTTGATCTCTATTTACATATTTTATTTTGTCAAAGACACAAATATGAGCATACTGAAATGTTCCCGGCCACATCAAAGAGAACCTTAGGGTTAGAGGAATTCTAACTTACCTGACCATAAAATGTGTATGTTGCATCCATTTTAAACAGCTGCTCAGGATTCTTCATCCGCAGAATCCTTGTATTGTCCTGTTTTTGTTCGACGGTATCGAACTGTGTGTCTGCTAATGGCAGGATCGTGCAGTTGCCCAAAATTTGATCAATATGATAGGAGACTCCTGAAAGAAACACAAATGTCTCTTTCTCATCATCATCTCCTAAATCAAAACATCACCACTTTGTTAAACACTCATATTTACAAATATCATTTTTTTTTATTTGGCAATATTTCATTTTCTATCAGATCAACCAGTCTTCAAAGCTGTTCTATGAACTTTATTCGTTTTTATATTTGTGAAGAAAACAAATCGAGGAACATTTTCACAAATTCATTTTCTGTACTCAAATCTGTCGATTTTATTTAAGTTGGGTCCTAAGAAAAAGCAAAGAACATATCAGATGAAAAAGAAAAATTTCATCTTTTTTTATTCTATATTAAAGCACTTACCTTCACTAAAATCATTGATTGTGGTCAAGGGATTGAGTGAATAGAACGGCGCCTTCGGTTTGGAAAAACGTTCATCTAAGCGAAGCAATTTACGTTCACTGTCATACCACACCTGACAAATAAATATGAATTGGTCAGTTGGTTATTTGAGATGGGAAAACAGATTTGAGTTGCGATAACATATTAAAAGTAGAAAGTTCATTTGTTTGAGCCTGATTCTTTGGGGCAATCATATGCCCATGTGAAATTGAGAATAAATCGACAGGGCTTGAGTTTCGTTGAAGGCCTACACAATTTAGTCAATCTTCACTGAGACATAATAAAAAACAGACCTGATCATATCTCTATCTATCAAAGAAAGAGCTGTGCAATGGTTAGCATGCTGATGTAACAAAAAGGGGTTTAATGGGACTCCTATAAACGTAACTTTGAATTCCTTCAGAAAGATAAGGCTAAAATGTTTCCAATAACTTATTAAGTCTGAAATTTTGGAGAAGATGAAGTGGAAAATAAAAATCTGTTAACAATGTTTATCATGAAATAATGGTATCGACAAACAAGGGCAGAAGATTTTTCAGAAATATTCCTGGATGTGTTTTTGAGAGAGGCAAAGAGAAAACTAAATATAGAAAGACTCTTGGGGTATTATATCAAGGATTTGATAATCTTTAGCAGGAGATAACTATTCCCAGCTGATGTAATCCACATGGCATGAATATATGCTTCTATACATTGTAATTAAGGTCCCATAGGTATATGTAGATCACAATTGGATTTTTCGTGATGGAGTGGGGCATTAGGCACTTTGGCTGATAATCCTCCTTAATCCAGACCATGCTCTAGAATCAGGAAAATCGAACTGGTGAAACTGAAAGTTCATATGATATGAAATTTCTGAACAAATGAGTGTTCACTACTTTACCTCAAAGTGTTACTTACCGCATGAAAGTTTACTTTCTCTAAGGCCGGCTCTGAAAATTCCACACGGTATGACATTTGAGCGGGAAATTTTGGATTGCCTTCTATATCGATTACACCTGGAAAACACATTAGATACTGCAGGTGTCTAGAATACAAAGGTAATATATTTTAGTTTTCATTAAATATAACAAAACAAGATTTTCTAATAGTAGCTATTTCCTTGTCTTATCTTAGAGCAGTTCTTCAAACATAATTATTTATTATTCATTATTATATCATTTTATATCATGATTTTATTTAAATTGTAAGGAAATCGTGCTTAAAAATAATATGAAAAATGCTTCTCGAAAGTTCACAAAATTTGAACATGAAAAATGTCTTCCCCTAAAATTTAATTTTCACATTCCGCTTCTAAATAATCCTCTTAAACATGATCACACTGAATCCCAAAGAGTACTGCTCATAAAGGGTAGTGGCAAAATCTGTACTATATTCAGTTCGCGTGCACAACCTTTTGGTTGTACATTGTAACATGACGCGATTAAATCCAACGAGCAATACACATTGACGTGCCAAAAGGTGAGAAAGATTCATATTCATAGTTAAATAGATTTATTTCAATCTCCCAAATGCAAGATTGTAGTGTTGATGGAATTATCCACGCAGAAGTCTATTCCAGTTCTTTGGGAAAAAGTTGTTTCAGTGGAATTTTCTTTTACGTTTAGAACATGGAGGGAATGAGAATGGTTCTACTCTGTGGCGTGTCCTAGTTGTAAAGGTCTGTAATGATGGAACTAAAGAATAGAGCGCTCATCTTAATATTTGGTGAAAATGTGAATATAACAACCAAGGTGAGCTTGCTGGGTCGAATAGAAATATAAAATAATGAAGAACATAATAGCAATAGAATAATAAAATTCTACCAGCATTTAGCAAATAATTACGTTTCGGGCTAATAATTTACTGATCCAAATTCGTATTTTTGTCTTTATCAGTTCTTTTGAAAATTAAAATCGCTGTTGCGCCAAAATGTGTATGTCTTAAATGCGGCTGCAACAATATACAAATGTATATATGTTGTACTTGATAATCAGCTAACATATATATATATATGTGTGTGTGTGTGTGTGAGAGAGAGAGAGAGAGAGAGAGAGAGAGAGAGAGCACGAGAAAGAGAGTTTTGAGTCTCATCACAACACAACGCTATATCTGCCTTGTGCCAGACTAAGGTAGGCATACTAAATATTAAGATATATTACACTAAAGATATTGTTAAAGCCGGCTTCGAATGTTAGAATGATGTCAGATGTGGCTCCAGACGTAACGCTGTTATAAGTCAATGTTCTCGGCCGCTACAAAAAAAAAAAGAGAGCTGTTCTCATTTCTTCCCGAGAAAGGATTTTGGCCTGCGAACAGTCTTAACAGAACGCACTTACAGTTATGACGCGGGGTTAGTCGTACTTAAGCTTCTTTCTCTTCTTCGCCTGATCTCACTTGACATTCAGTTAAATCAATCTTTTATCTTCTCCATAGATGCAACTTTAGTACCATTTGCGCATTTGAAAAGACCGTCACTTATTTCATTGTAAAAGGAAAGCAAAAAGTCATGTGTCATTTGAATTTAATATATATGGGCGTCGTTCGAGAAATTGGCGAACCATGCAACCTCGTAAGCGAACATTTTAATCGACGTTTCGTATTCCATTTATCAACAAAGCGGTTTGGTTCTCCACTTCTATGCCATCAGAAACTTAGTTTAAGATTAGGATAGATCACCCCACACATGCCTATTTCTGAATGTTTAAAGTTGCCTCGTTGATTTTATTATTCTTTCTCTTAGGCCAAGTGCTAAAGTATTACGACTGGAATTTGTTTCTACGCACACAATAAACCCTTCATGAATATCAAACAAAAGCAAATAGATTTCCTTTTAATTAGCTGAACAGTTGCTGTAAATGTGGCGGTTATAAGTGTAACATTTCTGGAGTGTGCTTATTCTTCAAACGACGCTCTATAACTTGGCCTTGTGCCTTCGCTGAAGGAGTGAAGCGTAAATTTAAAAAAAAACAAATTAGCCAGGTATTTTATTTCTTTTTAATAGATTTACTTTAATATCTTTAAACGGTGCGGAAAGGGGGTGAATTCAAACAGGAATAAAGAGAGAGAGTGTATTTAATTAGTTTAATTAGCTTCAAATACAGCATTGATGAATGATGGATATGTCAAATTTGTCCCTATCGCTTATTTATCAAGCACGCTAGACATTAAACACCGGTGAATACTGTCAAAAATTGCAAATATTTACCTAGCTTAATTCCATAAAGTCAAATTAGGAAAGGAAGCTAAAAATGAGAATGAGAAAATCTACTTTTTACTGGATCGAACCCTAATAGAAAATACAAGATTGCATCGGTCACAACTACAGATTTCATTGTAGTCATATCAAATCAAAGAAAATTTGTAAAAATAAAAAATAAGTTCTCATCATTTTTGCCCTTGTGGTTTGTCATAATCTCTTGGAAAAAGACACCAAATTTCTCTAATGAAAATTTTGCACCAGACATTTTCACCAAAGCAGATTTATGAATACGATATTTTTAGAACAATATTATTCAAATAGTAAACACATAATTAATATAACCAAAAACAACAATTTTATACTTTTGAAACAGGGATCTTTAAAGATTAAAAGACAACTTCATTGCTACTGTCACATTAAGAAGCCCAAATGATTAAAATAAGTTCATGTAAATTTAAAGCAACATAGAAAGTGTTAGAACTCTTAGAAATCTGAATCCTAAAATAATTCGGATTTACATTTCTGAGAAAAAAGTTAATGTTCAAAATTACAAGCATCAAAACATAAGTGAAACTTTTTGCTAAAATATGGTGATGAATATCACAAAGCAGTAATTTCCTTATAGCTGAACTCCAATATCATTTAATCCTCCATGAAACTATTCCAAGGAAAAATTGTCTGCTTCATTAAATTTAAATTGCTTTCATCCACTTCATTAAAAATTAACATGTTTACCATTAAAAATGACTTGGATAGCAGGATTCAGTAACAATGAATTTGTTGGATTTTTGTTAAATTTAGTTTTGAATATAAATATCTTCTTCGAGTGTCATCTCAGAGTTCATAGAATTGTTTGCTCAGATTTTGTTTGGTGCATTGAGAATTTTTTTTTCCTTTATTCATGGAGAAATATTTTCAGTGCTTTTTTTATAACCTGTAGAAAATATTTTAGAAATTATGTCTCGACACCGTTGCAAACCTCAGCTACGAACTTGTGAAACTCCGTAATTAAAAAATCAATTAACATGGTTGGAAGTAAAACGTGAATATTGGGTTCGCAAATCAGATGCTCAAAATTCAACTTTAACTCACCAAACACTAACTCGATGGTTCTGGCGGTGTATTTAATTTTTTCTTTCTGAAATGTTAAAATAAAGAAAACTCATTAAAACAGTATTTTTATTCTGAAATGTTTCCGAAATTGAAGAAATTTAGTATGGAATCTGCGAATGACAACTAAATGTTCACATTGCATTCATCACAAGGTTTCATTGCAAATATTCTTCAGTCTTACTCGGAAGTGTTGATTCTGATAATAACAAAAATCGAGACAACTGTCCAAAAATAACAGGAATCATGAAAAAACAGTTCTTAGATTTTGAGAAATTACCAAAACTAATATTCACAATTCTACTACAGCGCCTATTTAATTCAAATAAGAATATTTCAAAAGGTCTGACATTGAAAATATACGAAAAGAGTAATAAATGGTTCGAGCATCATTACTCTTGCATAACTGTTGAAACATTGATTAAGATTACTGTTTTGCTTTGTTTTGTTTTTTGTTTCTTGGTCTGTTTGACCTTCTTTTTTCAGATCAACCTTTTGTCATGCAACTGGGGAAAAATAAATGTAGTCAACGAAATCAGAATTATTTGTTTATACATTAAAATTTACGTTACTAACTGCCACTGCTACTTTCTCTATAGGTACAATCCGCCTTCGGGATGTGAACGAGCATGGATTTCCACATCATTTTTTTTTTTTTTTTGCTTTGACTAATTCTTCATCTTTTACTGTCCCTTTTTACATTTGCCACCCATTTCTCAATATAGCCATGGAGCTTACTCACTGTTTCTATCCTACTTCTCTTACCTTCAATGTATCCCGTGAGTGTTAAATTTTTTAAACATCCATTTTTCATTGTGTGTCGCAACTATTTCAGCTGTCTTTCTGATAACTTTCAACAAATCTTGTATAGTTCCTATTCTCCTTAAAACTATTCTCAAAGTTCATCTGTAGAATCACATGAAGTCTTTTCTTCTGTGAGGGCATTCTCCAGTGTTCACTGCCATATTGGGGATTAGACATTACATAAAGGTATTTTACGCTTTTCTTTATTTGTAAGACCAATTTTTGATCTCTTAATATCTTGCTCAGTTTTTGAAAGTTCGCTTTCTCTACGCACCTTCAGATTTCTGTGTCACTCTTTCATCGTCTGTTATGACAGATGAAGAGTTAATATAAAACCTACTTTATTCATTCATTCTCCATTATCATATTTCTAAAAAAAACATTTAAACTTTATGCTATCGAACAGCCAACAAACAAAATAACAGAAATTTGAAAGTGTATAGAAATAACAAAATATACTTTTCAGAAATTGGGTAAAGTTATAAATTATACACTTGAAACGAAGAAAAGCTGAATTATTATTGAATGTCTAATCGCCGATATGACAGTGAATGCTGAACACTTTTGTCATAAATGATGAAGTTTCTACTATGTTTCTACTGACGAATACAGAGCATACAACAAATGAAGAAATCTTAATGGGAATAAGAACGACAAAGAAACTGTTGCTAACATTCAACTGAAGTATTTTTGACACATAATGAATAAAAAGAGCTTAAAGAATTTAACACTCGCCGGGTATATTGAAGGTAAGAAAAGTAGAAGAAAATAGTGTGTAACCTACTTAACAAGTTTTTTATACCTCCATTCATTTACTCAAAACCAAAGGAATCATAAAGGAACAAATTATTACAAAGAGAAACAAATTATAGGAGGTTGAGGAGAAACATGATCATCAATGGTACATATTGAGATGTTATTGGAAGATACATAAATATTTTACACTGCTCTGCATGGAATATTTACACTCTTACATTTATAGATGTTATTTTTCCCCGTGTCAGTAGGAATTTCTTCTTATTCTCAAGAAGTCGGGGTGGAAAAAGGCAATGGAAGGAGATGTTAAGTTTAGTGATTCTTTTTAAAAACAGTTTATTACTTACTGCTGAAGGATTTACAACCGCCACGATGAAATCTCCCCGGTAAATAGTCATTAGCAATTCATTCCAAGCATTAACGGCAGATGGTTCTTTGATCAAGTTACCAACGACCGTTCCTGTAAAAGAATAAAGGAACCTCAAAATTAACATTCAGAATAAAATTTCGAAATCACAAATAACAACAGAACTTGCTAAAAACGCGCATGAATGAAGAAGTTTACCCTGAGCAGATTTAAACATTACAAGAAATGTCAGATGTCTTTTGTATTTCTTCTTTTCTTTTAGATCTTAATTGATTTATGAATCACGAAAACGATATTTGAAATTCTGCGATGAATGTTGCCATCATTCGATAAAGTATTCGTACTAACAAATGCTAAAAGATTTTCAGGCCTTCCTAAGATTAATGTAGCATTTTCTCCATCCTTGATACTTGATTAGTGGAAAATAACTAAAATTTACTCTCCATAGACAGATAGAACAATACGGTGATTTTCTACTGGTGTAGAATATTTCATTTGAATATGTCATATAGAAATTTGTAAAACACCTTGCCGAAACTGTATGTAATGTTCACCATACTTTTAACTATAGTTGGTCATTTTTAAGGAATGAAGGCAGAAGCTAATGGAAAATTTATGTTGTCAGCGGTCCGAAATTTTAAATGAACGCGACTACGTCTCGATTTCTACCTTCTTTGCTAGAAAATGTCGAAAGTACTCGGAACATTACACATATTATCGGCAATATCCTTTATCACCCTTCACCAAAGATCAAACGACTTATTTAACACCAGGTAAAACTCATCAAAAGGATTAAACGACATTCATTGTCTGCGCTGTTCTATTCAATAAAAATGTTTGAAAAATGTTTTGATTGCTACCTATATATTACTATCTAATATATATATATATATATATATATATATATAAAAGTTTGAGAGTCCCGTGAACAAAAGGAAAGGATGCTCATCAGAATAATTAGTTGATCTACGTAGCAGCGATTAAGTCATAAGGTTGATTGTTTTTCTCGTTCCGAGGAAAAAATCAGATTGCAGTAAAAAAAAAAAAAAAAAAAAAACTGCCAGCAAACTTCCCCGGTAATAAATAACAGCTTGTGCGTGGTGTGTTAATCTAAATACGACTTGCCTTCTAGGTGGCACCTCTCCATTGCACTAAGGGAGTATTGACAGGTATACATACAAAGACCAAGAAACCCAAAGAATCCTTTGTTGAAATCAGCAAATGTTTTGTGCGACATTTTTTTTTTATTTCTGAGGATTTATGAAGTGCTCCTAGTGTTTTATTCAGGTGTCTCTTTCAATTTGAATACGCTTTTGTGTTTCTGAAGTAATTTGACCGCTTAAAAACTAATGTCATACCTACAAGTATAATAAGATCACTGATGTGGGGCCAAAGTTGGGACCACAGAAGTAAAACACGGAACACGGATTAGAAGTAAGAAAGATATATTAACAGGTTACAGAGATAGTGTAAGCGGAGCTTACTATAACACTCTCTAGAGTGCTATGTCGCCTACTTAATATAGGCCTGGAAGAATCTATTGTGTAGGTAGTTTCCGGTCTCACAATAATCACCTTTCTGATGTCAATGTTCTAGGAAGAACAAAAGCAAGTTCTACAATACTTCTTTTGTTCAACTCTAAAGCGTAAATCTAAGTTTGAAAATTAAATCGGCTAGCGATTTACTAGACTCCATTGATCAAAATTATTTGATGATGGGAAATCCCGAGATCAGAAAAATTAACTCATTTACTCTGTTATAATGTTGTATTTAATAAATAAAAAATCAGTTAAACAAAATAAATGCCAATTTTGTTGTACTTATGTTCCACCCAGGTATTGTTTGTTTGAAAATTCAAAGTTGTTAAAATCTGTTATTAAAAAAAGCGACTGTTTCACATTGCTTACGTGTATAATAATTTGATGTGCTACTTGCTGTCAGTTGGGAGGCGGCATCGGCAAGTTGTGAGGCAGTGAGACGACAGACACCATCATTAGACAAGTCGAAACCCCAGCAAGAGAACTGGGACGAAATACATTTAGAAGCACACGAGTGTAAATTGGACTTCTGAAATGTGGTTTTCACATTATTTCCTTTCAATTTTTTGTTTTTTATCAACGAAAACTGAGCTGAAAAAAAGAGAAATGAAAATCATTTATACTCATTCAAATTTTATTCAAAAACGACGTTTTCCTTAGTATATAAATTATCTTAAATCCATTACACAAACTCCAATAGCAGCAAATAATCATAAATATATGCAAAATTTTTTTCCAACCTGAAGACTTCTTTCAGAAGGGCTTCAATTTGACAGAAACATGAAGAGAAATATTTTATGGAAGAGTAATCTTTTTCCTTAATCACTTCTTATAAAATTCTGTGGTTAGCAGCCAAGATTTGCAAAATTTCGTTTTTTAATGAGTTTATCATAAATATACTTTTATCCTCATTTTGGCATAATTCAATAAATATCGATCCAAATATATCAATTGATACTTTATCAATCCGTCGAAGAAATCAGAAAGCCCTACTTTAAAACTGAAGATTTATTCTCATTTATAGCGATTAACTTCATCCAAAATTGTCATTCGATACAAAAACTGTCTTTTCTGTAAATACAAAAAGACATCATTCCAAATTGATATTTGTCATTGACTTAAAAGTTACCATCATTTTCCACTTAGAACCTCTCATGTATACAATATCTATGAATAAAAAATTAAATTAAATTCATGCACGATACGGTATATTTATTTATCAAAGGGTAAGGATAATTTTAGCTACAAAGAGTATTTTAAAAAAGTTTTTTTTTTCTTTCCTAATTTTAAAAAACTTGAAACGATCATATAAAGAATAATACATCGATTACAATTAAATCTTTATGATTTTTATTTGTGTATCATCTAAATTCTCAGATATTAACTGAATTCTCAATAAATATCTTCAGTCGAAAATATAATTGGTTTAAACTGCGATAATTTATTAATAAAAAGTAATTAAACTATGAAAACTAAAATAATATAGAATAATCTTTAAAAAAATTAAAATGCAGATAAAAAAGAAATAATTTGTGTATAAAATGTTATTTTCTGTACAAGTTTTGGTGCAATCTTGGCCCCTCACCTTCCGGTTTTGTGCGATCAATAATGGCTGCTCTCACATAAAAAAAATTTGAATCGTCATGAATGGACAATTTTTGCACTCGATGTGGAAAGATGCCGCTTACAGCAGCAATCAATGAATGCATTTTTTTTCGCATGCTGTTCATCGTTGCTGGATATAAAACTCCTGCAAAAAAATTAGTCAGCGTTTAAATATCATTTTTTTCAAAATCAGAAACAAAAGATGTTCAAATGAAAATCTTAGAAAACTGTTGGCTACAATTGTATTTAATGAATGTATTTAATTTTTACTTCCTTTATTCATTTTCTGAGATTTGAGATTTTTTCGGAATGTTTTATGGGAATAGAGGTCTTGCCTATCAGTTCTTTGTGCCCGTCAAATAAATGAAATGAAAAAATTATCATTGGTATTTTTAATAAACGTCATTGGTAGAAAAAGAATTTATTCTCATTTAACAACCAGAAATTGCAGTAAAGACGGATGTTGATCTACTTCACAGTGGGGAGAAAATCCTTTCGTCTGTCTTGCTATATGAATTTCATGGTTATTATTATTATTATTTTATAAGGCATTTTATGCATATAACGTCGTCTTCTGATCTGTTCTTTTCCTTTCAGAAATATTTAATATTAAAGTAAAAACATTTGATCTGATTTGGCACACTAAAATGAACGTTGACAACGGTCATTTGAGACATTGCATGCTTTGCCTCTTAAAAAGGGTTAATAATCTTTAGAAATGTTGAGGAATATTTTCACTGCCTATGTAAATAAATTCTAAAGTGTCAAGAAACTCTAGCGTTTGTTTACTCAGTTTCGATCAGGAAATCTTGCTCTCAAAGAGTTTCCTTATTGTGAAAGACCGACATTAATTGACAATCTTGTTTTCTCCGCCGTAACTGAAAAATGTCTAAAGCTGACGGCACGAGAAATAGAACTCCAGTTCAATACAAACCGTATAACAATCATAATCCACCTCCATAGTCTAACCGATTCGTCATTAAAGACAAGACATGACACAGAGGGATTTCTGGAAAGGATTTTCATTGTTGAAAATTTGATCATGTATAATAATATTCAGCGAAAAAGTCAGTTATTACATCCCAAGGAAAAACCTGTGTCTCTGCTCAGGATTATACCCTGTGAAAGTGATGCTCTCTGCTTAATGTTAAAGGAAACGTGTCGTTTATCATCATGTGTTAAATTATAATGAAACAGTAAATTCTGAGAGATATTCTTCTCATTTGGAAACACAAAACTACAAATCGAGTTTCATTAATCAATTGAAAATATGTTCTTGCATGACCAAACAAGACCATATAATGCAAAATGTATATGAGAAAAGTATTTGGCCCTGAATATGAAAATTTTATTTTGTCCACCCTCGTCGAATTATTATATTTTGACGGGAAACGAGACATGAAGAGGTTTAAAAAGTCAGTTATTTTTTAATCAATTCAAAAAATTATAATGACCTGAGCATTAAACACTTGTCTCTTCGGTAGGTTTAGACTATCAAAACTGAAGGATCTATGACTTTAATTAAAATTATTTAATTAAATTTAATTAATTTACCATTAAATATAAGCTAAGAGATGAAGGTTTCTTCCAATATTCAAGTACGTTTATTCCATTTATTATTTTATTCATTACACTCTGAAGATTTACAAATGATAGGTTTTCATGTCCCGGGTTAACTACAACGATCTGCTTAATAATTAACTTTACTTAATAAGTAAATAGATTTGCGAGAAGTAAATAGTTTTGTCTATCCATCGATAACAAAAGAATTAGTTTTAATACAAAACTAATACTTTTCTTATTTAAAACCAAATAATTGCCATTACATACCTGGAAATCCAATCTTAAAATAGATTTCCGTGTTTCTGCTGTAGCATTGGGGGATACTGAACACGCCGGCATTCACATCATTCGTAAAATCGATGAAATTATAGGTGTAATAAGGTATCATATTCGAATCAAAGCCCTAAAACAAAACAAAAAATTACAAAGTCATTTAAAAACATTTAAATCAGACACAAGTTCTAAGTTTTAAGGTGTCCGAGTGTAGAAGCTTCTTGTGCGAAACTCTTAATATTGCAACTTTTCATTTCCAAAACATTTATATAACTTAATTTCAAATTTCGAAGAAACTTTCTGCTTACAGAATGTATAATACACTTACAGATGTTTGTTGATCTTTAATAAAGACTTCCATCATGATTGGAATGCTGCTTAACTGTTCGTCAGGGCCACCAAAATCGGGATAAAGCTTCCAGTCGTTCTAAGAAGGAAGAAACATTGGTATTTTCTTATACTTAAAAATGATTTTAAAAAAAAGCACGGCCTCAAAATATTTTCATCGCCAATATCATTTTTTATAAATTCTTCATTACATAAGACTATAAGACGAAACACTTGCCTTTACGTTAATTTGCAGAACAAATATAAAGGCTCTTTAAAAACAACTAATTTTTAAAAAGTACTAAAATGTAAAACAATTATGGTTCGAATCGCAAAATAAAAATATTTTTAATCTAAATATTTTGTATGTTTGTGTTTGAACTTTGTAACAATCGGAAAAATTCGATAATCAAAAATTCCTATTTACAGTCTGCATTCGCAAAAAAAATGACTAATATTTAGTCTACATATTTTATCAATTTTGCAGTTCAAATTCAAGTTGCAAGATTTTGTTCTTGTAAAAGTTAAAAACACTTAAGGATGTAAATGTAGTCATTCAACTTTTTATTAAATATCATATAAATTAAATATAAAATTAAGAGTGGGATTGTAAGATTTGGAATAACAGGTTATTGAATGTAAAGAATATTAATCTTACAAGGCATTAAGTAATTCGCAATTCAATATCCATCGTCTATATATTTGGCATAGATGATAATTAAAATATATATATAAGTTTTAGTAAGTCTCTTATTTAAATTATTTAAATAAAATTAAAACTGTTCTACACTAGATCGAAATAGGTTTTTCCACTAAGTCTAAAAATTAAGATGATTCAAGTTGGTTTAGATGCAATCTTATTCATTACTAAATGTGCCAAATGGCTCCACTAACATGGGATTTTGTATTTACGTCAGTGACTTTCATTTGATAGATGAATGCTTCTCTTGTCATGCTTCCCAGCCACTCTTGGGAAAGTTGTTTTTTTCTTTACTTTTTCTTTTTTTTTTTCTTGTATTTTCGTATTTTCAATTATCTCTTGTTATACCAATTTTATTCTTACAAAGGAAATGAATGACTACTCATCACGTCTATTAAGTTGTCTTCAAAGTGAAGGAGAATTATATTTTTATCTCTTATTTCTTTGTCTTTCTGAAGTCAATTTTGTCAGCGCAATGGTCAGTTTGATACGAGAACGATTGCCGCTGTCATTGAAAAGGAGCTTCAAACTCTATCTTCTACAGCAATTTATGTCGAGATTTTAATCTTCCCTTTCATCTCGGCAGCCCTACGAATAAAACATTTTACGATGTTGTCAATTTATCTCTCTTGCACTCGACGACTATCGACATTCGTAGATTTATGACAATCGCCAATGAGATCTCACATTTCTATAGATTTTTAATAAACTCAAATGCAATAGATCTTGTTGTTTATTTAAAAGAAAAAAAGGAAAATCAGAAGTTGTAAGGCAAAATATATGTACATGGACTATTCTTTATCTCTTAAGTGCTAGGTCAATTTGAATTAAAAAATTATTTATTAGTAGGGAAAAACTTACAGACATGAAATAAAATACAAAAAGTGCGCTTCCAATCTTGTTGTTGGGAAAAGAAATGTTTTGTTGAGACATAAACACGTCGCACATTATATCTCGCCGCTTCCGCTAGAAAAAAAAAAGAAAAAACTTTAACCCCAAAATCTTTTCATTGACCACAAGAATTAAGACATCTGCAAGATGATTTCAAAAACCTTCTCAATATAAATATCATGGCTAATGTAACATATATTTTTTAATTGTACAACTATTTCAGGATGTGGTTCAGAATACTAGCAAGAGTTGGTTAAACTATCTTACTAACCAGTGCCCTATGACAGGCGCCCCTAAATGTATTAATGTCTTGTTCTCTGTTGTTGCTATCAACAGAGAAAACGGTAACTAATATAAAATAATTATCAATGAAACATGAAATTAAATGTGAAGGGATTTCTTATCAGCAGCTGAAGTTAATAATTATTAAAATACTTTTCAACAAACAACACAAGTATTCTTCATTCTTCTTTTTTATGCAAAAGAACCAGACTTCAGAAAAAAGACAGAAATTGTTAGTTTCCATACAACAAAATAGTCAACCATTGGTTTTTTAAGACGATTTTGACCCACTTTCTTCTTAGTGTTTTGGAAAGATTTTATTATCAATAAAACAATTGCTGTCATTGCAAATAAAATAGATGTACAAATATGTCAGCTAAAGTTCTCTTTATTAAAGAAAATAAACAAATGGCAGGATTTAATATAAACAGACTTATATGATACATGCAGCTTTTAATATAGTAAAGTTTCGTAACACATAGTGTGGACGAGGTGACGTTTTTCTTTCATTACATCTCCTTTGACAGATGAATTCTAAATGAGTCATTAGTTCTGACTCGTAAATCAAATCCTGCTGATATCTATTCATTTTCTATTCACGTTTCTGAGTTATGATTTCGATTTGTAAGCTAAGCACTTTCATTGGCTTTTTCTTCTGTGTGATATAATGGAACAAGGAATTAGCTTTTGCAGAGAATAGTGCAACTGTACAAATTGATAGACAATATCTCGAAGGACATTATGATAAAACAATGAATTAGGATATCAGGATGACAATTTTAATAGGAGCTTTCCAATTTAAAAGTGAGATGATCACTACCAGAGAATGTATCAATGAAACAAAATAAATCTTCGAGTAAAATTCATCCATAACACGCTTTTTAAATTAAAGTCAAATTCCCTACCTGTTCAATATAAGTAAATGATTTGTCATTTTGTAAAAATGCCAAAGGATCTCGCATTTGAAGATTAATGTACTTTCCTTTGTGGATCGGAGTAAAAAAGACGTTGTCATCGATCTTGTTTTGTTTGATTGGATTCACTGAACAATTCTGCAGAATATTATCAATGGAATAAACAACATCTGGAATGAACAAAAAACAACAATTACTTCACTATTTGCAATTAATTTTCATGGAAGACAATTCATTTCCAATTAATTCCAAAACTTTATTTCGTTTTTATAAAAATGCATCTTCTTTTATTGAACAGTTTGAGAAGGCTTCGAGCAGCGTAGTAGTAATTAAATAAAAATACATATTGTTTTTTTTTTCTAATTTGAACTTAGTTTTGCACAAGGTCACAAGAGTAGACTACTCTGCAAGGGTTGTACTAAATACCATATTCCTATTAAAAAAAAAAAAAAAAGAAGTGAACACGCTTTTCTCTAGTAAGGGAAGACGTATCTGTTAGTTAAGAATAATTCAAAAATCAAGATTCTCACTTATTTGAGTTTTATAAAATGATAGAGATTTACAGTCGTACAAGATTGCAAATTTAGAACTCTGCTGGTGCTGAAATTTTAAGACAACACGAAGAATTTTTTAGTCGCTTTTTTTATTCTTGTGAATCATTTATCTTCACTAGATACTTCGGAAACGTTAACTTGAATTTTGATGTACAACCAGATAATGGATTCGTTTTTGTATGAATTTGTATGAAGAAAATGAATTAATCTTACCAGTTTTTAAATCATATATTTCAGTTACTGGATATCCACTCAAAGGGTAACTGCTCGGGTGGAAATCTTGACGTAATAATTTATTGTTTTTGTCGTACCAAACCTTAAACACAAGGAAGGCATAAAGTTCAGAGAGAATTAAATTGTGAGTTTTAAGATTAAACGTAATATTTCATATTGATCACCAAACCTTTATCTTCGCCTATAGCAACTTCAATTATTTATAAATGCTTTTCTCATTTGTATGTTATTGATTATTTTGCTAGAACATTTATTAATATTGGACTTATATGTCATTTCTTAGATTAAGTACGGCATTGTTTCTTTAAAGGTGTAACATTTTTTATAGGCTGATTATAAAAATCTTATTCGTTTTTTTAAAAAAAAAACTTATTTAATATCGCTTGCAGCCAACTCCTCGGTAGTAGAATTGTATCTTTGAATTATTAAACAGGAGACAAAACTTCGGTTCTCCAAACGCGCAACCCTTAGTGGCTAAGAATAAGAATCAATCGACACCCGTGGTTTTACCAGACATTGCGACTAGTTGTGAGTATCGATCATTCGTACTCAGCTGTTAGTAAGATAGATCTATGACGGGAAGAAAAGTAACTTTTAATCTTTTTCAGTTGAAATTTTACAAAATAAATTGATGATATAAACGACACACTGCTAAGTTGTAAGCCTATTTTTAAAACAAAGTTAATCGACATCGCCCGAAATCAAGTTTTCCTACGAATGATTTAACCTCGGAGAAACAAAAATTCCCCTGGATGGCAGATGAAGCGAAATAGTCAAATCTCAATGAAAATAAAAGAATTTGCAACAGGCATTTTCTGTGACAATTAAAATTAAACCTGATTGGTTGCTTATTGAGCCTATAAAAAAATTTCGATTCCATTAAATGGCTAATAAATTTACGTTCTTTGATTTTGATGTATTTTATTAAGTTTTGACTAATCTTTTACTTTAATTTACTGTTTGATAAGGGCAGCGGAGGATACTTCGATGTTTTTCCCAAGAATGAGTTAGGTCAGGGCTAAATTCTAGCTGTCAGTACCATGTAACACAGTACAACCTGTTGTATGTTGGTTGGAGAGGTGCTGAGCATTGGTAAGTCATAAAGAATAGTTAATCAGCATTGCACCCTAATGACCTCGTTGAACCAGAATTGGAACTGAATTTAATTTCTAAAATAAATCTGCTACGAATGTTATTTCTAATTCTGTTGTAATTGAAGTTGGGCTGATCGGGTGATGTATTCAAAAGTTGTTGGATTATTTTTAACCACTGATTGAGTGTGAAAAATTTAACAACGACACTTTATTCTCAAAATTCAGCTGAACTGTTTTGCGAGCGGCTATCGACTGAAAGACACGTGCACATTTTAAAATAAATAAAGTCCCAATTCCGTGCTCCATTTATTGATTTCTAGTTTTGGAAATAGTAGGCTACTATAACATTTTATTTGATTTCCCTTACTTTTATTGGCAGGGTTAGTTTTCTCCAAGGAGACACTTTCTATTCTTTACTTTTTTATGACGCACAAAGCAGCACAAAACTCAATGCGATCAAATATTAACAAAGCATCGCTTCATTGTACAGAACAAACAAATGGTTCGATACTAAAATTCTAACAATCGCATATTTTCCTCGTTCTTCTTTAATCTGCATATAATTCCAAGACACCAGATTAAATTATGTTTTGGCTAATAGTTTCACTGATAATCCCATAATTTGAAAACCTATTCTCGCAAGTATCATTGATGAGGTTTAATAAAAGACACGGATTTACATCGATCCATAAGATGGTTGAGATGTTCACAAAAATTGGCAAAAATGTCCACTGTATGAAAATATCAAACATTAGTTCGTAAATTGTTAACAATATCGAAACATCATTAGAACGAGATAATGATATTTTGTGTAGACACATTTCAAAAAGCTAATAAATGCATGAAGTCCATCAAACATCTTAATAATCTCAACAAGATGAAATAGTTGATCAAAAACGAATCAATTAGGACTTGATAAAAGCATATAATACGCTAAAATCTTTAGTTCATCAAAATATTTGAACTATATACTAAAAATTTGGCTTTATACTAGAAATCACTTTTTGAACTTACCTTTGAAATTTCAATACTATATAAATTTGAGTCGATGATTTCTACGGTATAAGAATAAGTGTCTGCAATTTCTGGTAGCTTCGCCGAAACGTCTGCTCCTTCACATAACACAGTTGTTGGCATCTTGAAAAAAAAAAGTAAACGCATATTTAGACGTAATATTTGCCATTCCAATTCTCAGCCGATTTTCTTCTTCCAGCATCAATTTCATCCACCCAAAAAATTGACTAAAATCTGGAAAAGTTTCCAGTCTTTTAAAAATTAGTTTCCTAAGTTAGAATTGTTTTCATTTTTAACCAGCTTAAAACTGACGAAAGGATATTTTAAGTTTTTATCTTTGACCCTTCGACATAATAACTCACTATTCTTAACACGAGTTTGATCTTAATTTCGGAAGTTTTTAAAGCTGCTTTTATCGTGTTGATTTCTTCTAAAAATATTGATAGGTCAAGCCCAGTGATATTAAACATTGGGTCGATAATTTATTAGAATACGTGCGTTTATCTTTGTGATCTTGTGCCTGAATTAAGCAAGATTTAGTAGCTATCAATAGAATTATCCATTTTGCTTTTAATAATTTATTTTTGTTGTTTATCTGATAAAATAAAGATTGCATTGATTAATCTTTAGTAAACCTTCGAACAGAACCATTTATCTCTTCTTATCAAAAGAAAATTCGACAATTTAACGGTTATAAAAAATGTCGAGATATTTCTCATTATGTTTTCTTTATCAATATTTCGGCATTTCCCAGCAGTCGGCTGGGCGCGTTTTTAACAAGTAGCCTGTCTGTGGCCTTAGGGCGTACTTTTATGACATATGACGACAAATAGAGTGCAATTTTTTCTAGAATAATTTATTTTTTTAACTATGGTCTTGTATACGCCAGTATTTGATAGTGAGAAATTTATTCCTGAGGATTCATTGCGTATGTCCTCAAATACGATAATATTTTTTTCTGTTTCTTACCTCAAATTCAACAACTTCATCTTCAAACCAAAATCGATCACGATATTGGAAAAAGTAAAAATCATAAATAACATGGAACGGATTGTTTTTTAATTTGCCAAAAACATCGTAACGCACTGGAATATTTTGCTTCGTTCCGGCTTCGCTGTTCCATCCATCTGCAAAACAATTCGGAAAGATTTTTGCATTAGTCTTCACGGAAGGTTACTAGAAAACTGTCATTACAAATATCGATAAGTTTTGAAACGGGGCTGACAGAAAAATCGAAATGTTAATGAGTGTTAAACAACGCATCTTGAAATTGTTTAGGATAATTCACGAGAAAAGTTTCGTGATAACTTTTTAAAAATGGTGTCTTCACTGTCAGTTATCAAAATACAATTTACGGCATTTAAATGTCATCAGAATACGAAGGCAATTCGAAAAATATAAGTTCAAGATGGAGTTGATTCCTTAACAGATTTTGTTGTTTTTATTGCCTGTTTTTAATTTATGACTTGTTGATTCCTTGGAAAAAGATTCGTTTGGTTTCACACATTGCTTCCATATTGAAACGTTCTTTTTTATTGTCTCTTTGCAAGTTTTTTTTGTGGTGGTGATAGTGGGAATAAAAGCATAATTTCATTTCAACAATTTGTAAGCGTTTCCGGTCATTACCGAAAAATATTTACGAGTCAATGAAAATAACAGGTTATTTAGATTAATTAAGTGAGCGTGAGCAAAAACAACCTAATCGCACCTGCACGAATTCTCCAGAGACAAAATGCCAAACTATAAATCCAGGGTCTTTTTATTCATATTGCAGAACGTTTAGCCAATTAAAGGTTGGTGAGGCTATTTAACACAGTAAATTAGCTTTGAAAAATACACGCAAACTTCAATCTTTAGGCGATTCTTCAAAATCAAGAGTCTTACTCCAAACTTTGGCGTATATATATATATATATAACAAAATATACTTGTAAGGTATATCTATATTTATAGGCTAAAGTGCTAAAAATCAGGGATAGAGCGTATGTAAAGCGTATATTATGGACTGTCGTCGCTGGGTGTTGACATCATTGTCTACTTTTATATATATATATATATATATATATATATATATATATATATATATATATATATATTCAACTTTTTATTAAATGTAATATAAAGGAGAAGGAAGGAGGAAGAGGAGAATTTGGCGCCGCCTATGTTTGAGTGAGGTGCGAGATGTGAAGAGGGTTGAATTTTTATGTGAGGAGAAGGTGGATAATTCTCCAAATTTGGAATGCTGATTAAGAAGGCAGAAATAGGGAACAAAGAACCCTAATCGGAATTTAATGTGAAAATTAAAGAATCTACGAATCCCAAGAACCCTTCGGTCCCACGCCAGTTTTAGGCGGAAGTGCCTCTGGAATCCACGTCAGCTTCCACCAGATTTCCTGATTCTAAAGAATTTTGAACTTAGAATTATTAGGCAAAGCACAGTGTCACTATAGAGATTGATGCGGAAAGGGTTAATTTTTGTTGTAGCATGTACTATATAAATCAGCTAAAAATTAACCCAATGAATCTTTCGTTTTTATTTTTCGTTGTGAATATATTTTTTCCTTAATATATCACCTGCCATGGCTCGAACCAACGCTGCGATTACTACGACATTCAATCTTCTAATATTCTGAGATCAAGAACACAACGTTGGCAGAAATGGTGTGGATTGAAGCAGCCAGCGATCAACAACCAGCATTATCCAGTGCAGACTTAGCACTCTGGTTAAAACGTCGGCCTAAGACCCTGAGGACCGGACCACTAAACGTGATTACACCAGTGAGGATGGGCAGCGGTAAAGGGCAGTATAACTGCAACCTGTTTGTTTGGTAAATATTTAGGACTAAAATTTTCCAAAAAATAGGAAGAAATTATTGTTCATATTTTTACAAATATGTGAACATTTTAGAAACAAATTTCATTTTGGAACATGAATGAAAAAAAATGAGAAGATTTAGTTGAAAGTTAATATTTAATAAAGTGAAAAAGAATAACTTACTTGTAAAATATGTATCGATAGTCAAATTTGCGATGCCTTTGGTCAGTTGATATCGCCAATGAGAAGTTTCAATTCCGCGTATTACAACTGATTCATTAACCATTGTCTGCAAAACATCAAAAGATGCGATTTACACAAAAACAGAGAGAAAAGTTTTCATCAAAAGTAAAACAACTAAAAGAAAACAACTGTGAAAACGGAAAAAAATGAAAATATATTCAAAATAACTTTGTAGAAAAGAAAAAGGCAATTAAAGAATTAATTAGTAATTTATTTAAAAATGACTTGTTTGAATTCTATGAATGAAGAACGTGATTTTTGAAATATTAAAAGTGTAGCTCATTTTATTAATGTTTAGCTTTGACTTTTTCTTTTTTTATAAATGTCTTTGACTAGATGGAAGGGTGTCTCGCCAGTATTCTAACGATGTTGTGACAGTACCTTTTTGCTTGATATATTGTCTGAAATTGGAATTGTTTTAGCTGCTTCTATCTCCTGCTTCTAAATCTTATTGAAAGCATATCTCCCAAGCCCAGTACTTGGTGAGGGCGGAGGATTGGCCGTTGATTCCCCCCACCCCAAACCAGGTCGATGCTTGGACATAAGGTAAGCCATATATTCAGTCACCATCATAAGAAGGCTGACAACCACTTGCTGGTCCATGTGAGTATAGTTTCGCTCTAGCAGAAACCCATTTACATTTTTCTTTGTTTTTTTTGGGGGGGGTTGTTCTTTTCGTCTTTTTAAATTTTTCTATTTTTTTCCCCCCCCCCACTCAAAGGTATTTTGTCCCAATGATTCTCCTTATTTGATAGTTTAGTAAGAAATCCCGGTTCGAAAGTTAAAAAAAGAAAAGAAAAAAGAACGGGAAAAATGGAAAATTAAATGTCTTTGACTAGATGCGATAATAAATCCGGCTAACCGTATTTTCAATTTCTTTTTAGAATAGACAATGGGACTTTTACTAAGTTAAAACATAATGTGATAGGTTATAGCCAAGTGTGATCCAGGACTCCTTACCTGTTATCTCCCCACCCCAATCCTTCCCTCTGTTTTTGTCGTTGTTTCTTTTGTGTTATCCGTAATAGGAGTAGGTAGTCTCTTCTACCGCCCGGTCAACACTCCTCCCACTTCTATTGGACATGAGTAGAGGCTTACACCTTGTTTCTTGTCTAGGAAGGGGTTCCCGGTACTGTTTCTCCCTCCGGCCTCTGTATTAGTGCAGCTCTGTTTCTCCCGTGATGTGTGCAGTCTGTGGCATCACCTCTTCATTCTGAGGGTACACGGCTGACAGTTCTCTGGTTGCTGTTTCCGACTGGTAGTTAGGAGCCCTAACTCTTGCGTAGCGTCTTGAGCGGCCGCTCTGATAAACAGTTGTATAATACCGGGGTGTTTGTAGTGCCATGTCGCGCATGGAAAGGTGTCCCTGCAGTCACCTCCGGTGGGCAGCCCTGAGGCCACATAATGATGCAGATTTTGCCAACTCCTCTCTGCCCGCGTCACGATCGAAACTGTCTGTTTCTTTTACTTCGGACCTTCTCATCTTACAAACAAAATTCAACATGAGTTACAAAAACCGAAAGATTAACCCTAAACCAGCCTCTCAAAAACCACCTAAACCCCTCAACATTTCGTTCTCCAACATCCGGGGCATTAGGACAAACTTCTGCAGTCTGGAATCTTTCCTCACTGCAAACGGACCGGATGTACTGGCTCTCTGTGAGACAAACCTTGTCTCATCTATCCCCTCTTCTGATCTCTCTATTCCCTCTCCTCAGAAAAGACTCTCTAGCCCACATGCACGGTCTTGGTGTCTACGTCAAAGAACTTCTCCCTCTGGCCAGAGAGTCCTCTCTCGAATCGCCTGACCAATCATACATGTGTCTCCGACTCTCTTTCCTCAATGCGGTAAGCTATCTCTTCTTCCTTTACCGCTCTCCATCCTCTCAAGACTGTGAGATACTTGATAGCATTTCTGACAGCATAGACATAGACTGTTTCCCTGTGAGCTATAATCTCCAGCTATTCAAGTGTAATGTCAATCGACATCTCTAGCTACCTTGATCTATCCACTACCCTCATCCTTTCTTCTATCACTCCTATCTGATCTTGCTCTAAATTTTCTGTAACCCCTTGCGTCCTAGTGGCTTCCCGCCTTGCTTGGGGTGAAATGCTTAAAAAAAAAGTCTTCTCAACCTGTAAAACCAGCACACATCAACTGGAACCACTACTGACCTCTGCAACATGTAATCTTTTTTTAGCTTAATTCATTGGAATCGATTCATTTAACTTCGAGAAACATTTTCAAAAAGCAACTTATTGCTAATATTTCCATTGATACATATACATTTTTAAAACTTCAGTATAGAAAAGAATGAGAACTGCAAAAGATTAAATTATTACCGTTTTTAAATCTTGTATTAAACGCATTGCATCCTTCGAAGTGATTACGGGGAATTTGACCAGTGGATCGATCTTTTCAGAAAATATGTCATCCAAGTAGACGCTAATATTTTTAAAATGGCATTTGTTATCTGCAATCAAAATACTCATTATTAAAACAACCATTTATGATAATTGTCAGAGTCGCAATTAGTATTAACTTTTATTAATCCAATTATGCCAAAGTTCTCATAACGTTTGCAACACACTACCCACGGATCTTGATTTTATTGTAATCGAGGAATTATCAGTGCAACTAGATGACAATACCCAGGGACATACTTTCGATAAGGTTGGGACATGCTGATCACGACCAATATTTACCTATCAAAAGTGTGGTCATCTTTTCTGTGGTCGGGACATTGGAGAATATGTAAAAGCCTAAGAAAGTCAATCTAGACGAATAAAGAGAATGAGGCTGGGAACTATTAATCTCAATGAATTTTGTCTTTCGTAAGTTTTTTTTTTTTACTTTGAAAGATAATGCTGTTTTCCACAGAAGTCTACAAATAAAAATAGTAAATAAGGATCTTTGTTTCATACAAATTATACAATATATACAATATATTCCTTACCAGCAAAATTATACCATAGTTTCCACGTATTTTTTTTTTACCTTGATTTTGCACTGCAAATTATTTTTGTACAGTTTACATCTTTCGCTTTTCGGCTCAGTTTATGCAGTCCGTCATTCATCCAATCATCATTTGTATAGGAAATACACATAATGTGACTTTTTTGCTTACATTATCATTACCACCGATGATACGTTGAATCATTTATGTGTTGTTAATTAAAAGTTAGGCGAGTGTCCGAATCGACACGAATCAGCTCGTCATATCTATTCCCAATCTAACTTTATTCCAGTTATGCCTTTTCAAGGAAAGTAGACCATTTCACTGTTACATACCCATCTGTCTATGAAAGGACACTGTAATAAAAGACTACAGCCCAGAAATATTGCAACTATCCTCCCACCAAGATGGGCCATGGCAAGTAAACCTTTAGCGCAAAATGGAGACGGGTGGCCAAACTCATCTACACTCAAACCTAAAACTTCATAGCGTAGATATGCAAACTTTCTACTTATCAGATCCTAGAGTGCGGCAAAAACAAAATAGGTCGCCGGAAAATAGAGTTGGTTGATATTGATTCTATAATCGAATGCATCATTTGGTAGAAGTGTGAGCGATCAACACTATCCAAGAAGAGTAACACTCAGATAGAGAGGAATCTAGAAAAGAGAGTCTAAAAGGGTTTTCTATTTCCTTTCCTGTTAGCCTCGCACGACCAACGGACATTATTTAAAAGCGGCTAAATAAAATCAAAGAAAAAAAGAACGTAAAACACAACTGAACAAAGAAGACAGTGTGAACATAGAGTTTTGCTCTACTTGGAACTGAACTTGTGCAGATGGATATGGAAAAAAATCAAGCCACAAACTAGACCAGATTTATCAGGCAAGCCAAAACAAGAGCAACAGTAACTTTGTGGTGTTTGTTTCATGGCAAAAACTCTATTGCCTCAAAACATATCAATCAACTAAATAATCACTGTATCATTTCTATGCAACCACCAACATGATCTTCAATGTCTCTGTCCTGACCCTCCAAGTCGACCCAGAAGATAAATAGTTTTACTCTGAACTTAGTAACTTTTTATCTATCCCAGTAAACTATAAAGTAATCACCTTTGGGGATTTTAGGCCGGGAATTTGATGCTTGAGAGAAAATTCTTGGAAAAAATATTGTAGGAAAATGAAATGATAATGGACATCTATTTGTAATTTGCACAGAACAAGGATTATGCATCATTAACATTCTATTTCATTATAAAGAAAACAAACACATTCAAAACAGCGAGAATGAATTTCTAACTAAAACACTGGCCCTTCACAGAATATATTCTAGTATATAAGAGATGTAAAAGAAGTCAATCGGGCTCTGGCTAAGGTACATATACACTGGTCAAGCCATATGTCTGGAATGAAGACCATCATCTACCAAAGGTCGGAGAGTTTTGTAAACTGTCTACTAATATAAAAAAAAAACAAAAGATGAAATGTAACTACAATCAATCTGTGGATAAAGGTATTATCAAGGTCAATCAAATCTTTCTCAGTTTAAGTAATCAATTCCACTGACTGCAAATCAATTACAAAAGGCTATCTTGGTCAATAATGAAATGATTGAAGAAACCTTTTTCTAGTGATTAGTTTATTTTTAGAAAGTATCAACAAAATATTATTATATCATTGTGTCAGATTTGTTGTAAAAAAACAAATAACTTAAGTAGTTAATCCTACAGACAGTTGAAAGAACAAAAATTAATTAAATTAATTATATAGATAGATAGATAGATAGATAGATAGATAGATAGATATGCTTACCTGCGACAATAAATAATTTATCGGTCGTGTAATCAAAAACGATCTTCATGTCTTTTCCTCCCACTGTTTGTGAAATGGAACATTTTTCGGGTAGATTGGAACTTCCGGCCTGGAAATACTCTTTGATCGCCATTGTATATTTTTCAGTGACATATGTTGCTTCGATCTCTGCTTTATGAGATTTATTTATACTGATCAGGGGTGCTTTTTTCTCTACAAATGGAAAAATAAACATAAATTGGAACACAAGTGAAATTTACCAAAATACACAT